CTCTTGCCCGATGCATTTCAAGAACTGAATGCGAAATCTGCCTTTCGATAACAGTCTGAAATTACAATTTCCCAAAGGCGCTGTGAATTTGCACTCTAACTATCTGACTCCACTATCATCTCATTGGCAGTGTCCTGCCTTTCTTCTTCAGGGTGTTTCCCATTATGTGTGGTTGGTATTTATCTGAATTTCAACAGGCTTAGACTTCGTGAAACCAGTTCAGGGCATCTCTAACAAGCTTTGGCATGTATTTTAGACTTTCAGGAAGAACAATGTGTCAAACTGCCTGCTAAAAACATCTTCATGTAGGAACCACTGTACACGAAAACACTGAGAGGTATCCACTGTTCATAGACCTCCTACTTATGTTGCTTATTTGTAAGTCAAAAGTGCAATGACTGTCAAAGGGATGAACGAAATACTTCTGTGAATACAGACAACACAGCAGACTCCATTTTAGTGAGTCTGAGCCTCGGAGCTCCCTCACCAAATCTACCCATCCCCCAGCGAGTCTGTCATGGTACAACAACAATTCTACCACAAAAGGTAATTTCCTAACACAAAGTTAACCCTACAAACTAAACCTTACAAGCATAATACTTTATTCGTGTGGCCCACTGAAACCTAGACAGGCTAACACATCACATGACACGACAAAAAGCAAAACCACCCAGATCAAACATCCTCCTCGAGGTTAGCTCAATCAAATTACCAGTGTGATGTAACTGACGTCCACCAAAACTGTTAACTAACCCTAATGATCAATTAATTATTATATTTAAGATCCCAGCATGTCCAGTAAACCAGTGTCTAAATCTGAGGAACTAACGTTACCTCCAGTTTTGTTTCAAAAGTCTAAACTACGACCATTAAAAAAATCTTGCTATTTAAAATTACGTTGGATATTTAGGGGGACCATCAAAAGTCATTGCTACAACACAACAGTTTCTGAATTCTTAGAGGCTGCTTTTCAATTCGGGAATGATTTAAAGCCAAAAAGCAGCCCATAGTTCCCTCTAATCTCAAAGTCTGATAACGTGACTCAGCTCAAACAGCTAACAGTTAACGTTGGAGAGCTACCGTTAAAAAGCCTCACCTTTTAGTGAAGTCTCCACGAGACGCAGGTACTGTTTGGACCGTTTGTTCCCATGACTCATTTTCTGGGCCATGCCATTCCTCTGCAGCACACACTCTTCCAGCTGGACCACATTTTGATGCCGTTTCTCCAGACTTGCTAGCGCCCAGAACTCCTGCAAGGCGAGCTCCACGTTTTCCGGCGCGTCGCAGCGCAGTTTCTTCACGGCAACTTTAGCACCAGACCTCCGGGCCACCGCCTCGTACACCACGCCGTATGTGCCCCTTCCCACCTCCCGCAGCAGGCTGTAGCGGGGCGCCATGATCCTCCGCTCCAGGTTATCCTGCTTGAAGAGACCAGTGTCCTCCCCCATGTCATTGTCCTTTCCCGTGTTTCCCACGCTAAGACACCGCAGCACTTTCGCCTCGTCGGCTCGTGCTCTGGCTTGTTGTCTGCAGGAGGCTCGCGCGCTCCTCGTGCGTCTCCGCCTGTCGTCCTCGCCAACTGTATCCATACGTCCACGTGAATCCATCACGATTCAAATAGTAAAGAGAAAAATGTCCACATGTTGTCAACGACAGCAGTGTCTGTGTGACCCATTGGCGTCCTTTATTTGAATGGAGATAACAGGAAAGAAACAGGCTCATCAAAGTTAAAGAGGGGAGGAGGGTAAACTGGAAACACAAGTAAACGTCGCTGCAATATATAAGAGGGTTTCCGGTCAGGCTTCAAAATAAAACCGATAATGTTAAATGCGTTTCTAGTTGGTTGGTTCATCTGGGCAGAGACGGTAAGATTTTATTGATCTAGTAAGTTGTGTGTCACGCTACACGTTAAGCAGCCTTTCTGTTTCTGCACTGCTCGATCCTGTGACATTTAAGCCCACTGTACGGATCAATAGCCCACACTAAACGTAGCACGGAACCCACGGTCGGTTATGTTCCATAGACTGTATATAAAAAGTTATGTTCATTGACAATTACAATAACGTTATTTAAACAAAATGTTTGCGTCCTCAATGAAAAGACACAGAAAAGGCAGCATTACGTAATACAGCCTATAATGTTTTACATTATGAGCGGGTAGTAGGAAGAAAACAAGAGCAGGTTACTGTGAGCTGCAGATGTCTAGAAGACGCAGACAACATTGGATTTAAATCACAGTAGTATCAGCAATGTAGCTTTAGCCTTAATCTGTATAATTCTTCTTCTTCCGGCTTTCCGGCAGACTAGATGCCTTACGGATATTGCTGCCTCTCACAGTTCAGTCTCAGTATCGTTTTATGGCATCACCATTCTCAGAGGGGTAATCCTGTTGCAGATATAAAGTTCATGACTGCTTCCACAATGTCTCTCAATGTCACTGTCTGTCTTCCAGCTTTTGATAGCGCAGAGTAAAGTTGATCTCTTTGCCTTTTGTACTGTTGACATTCCATAAACACATGTTTAACAGTCTGTTGTTGATTGCAGGTTCTACAGAGTCCATCCTCATGTTTGCCCATCTTTGCCAGATCCCATGCAAGTCCACAGTGTCCCAGTCTCAGTCTTGTCATGATTACAGAATGTCTTCTGGTTTTACCCAAGTAACACTGCTCTGTCTTACCATTGCCCTGTAGATCATTAGTTGAGTATCTCTGCCTGCACCCCATGTGCTACCCGAGAGGGAACGCATTACATTTATCACTTTTTCACACTTATTTACTACATTATTTATCTGCTTTCTCCATGTTAGCTTCTCATCAAAGTGCACACCCAAGAATTTGAACTATTTTACCCTTTCAATTGCTTGTTCATACAAAAATAAACCACCACATTCAGTTTTCTTATTACCAATATTAGTACTTTGACTTATCTACTGAGATCTTACCACTTTTCACCCCAACTAGCCACCTTGTTCAGTGCTACCTGCATTCGCTCAGTTTTGTTTGATATTCCCGCCCCTTTTCCAGATGGCCCCATCATCTGCAAACAGAGACTGTCCAAAATTATTCCCAATTCCTTCAAATATATTATTTATCATAATGTTGAAAAGGACTGGACTTATTGCACTTACCTGAGGTGTTCCATTATCAATACCTGTGCCATCTGAAAATGTATTTGCAATCCTAACTTGAATGCTCCTGTTCTTCAAGAAATCTTGTATCCAGTTAAGCATCTGCCCTCTGACTCCAGACTCATAAAGTTTAATAACAAGCCACTCCTTCCACAGCATGTCATACGCCTTTTCAAATCAAGAGAAAAACCGGCATTAATATTACAAAGTGGCTTCTTAATGATCTCATAGCTAATACCACCCTTCCCTGGAGCTGTTTTCCTCCCTTTTCCAATTGCACTGTGTAGTTAACAGTAGTAACAAAAAAAATTAATTACACACATCAGAATTATCATGATTTACCTCAAGTTTGTCCCGATTTTGCTCTAATATTTCATTTCTTTGTATAATTTCATTTCTTCACCTGTGAACACATAGCTTTGCTTTATCCAAATCACTTGTAGCAAACAAGCCCTCCTCCTCTAAAACTGGCATTTTCCTTTTCTATTGCTTCCTGACATACGGTGTACTGCCCGCCATATATCTCATACTGCTGTCTCTGCCCCTAATTTTCCACAGTATCTTCTCCAGCACTCCTTTTTTGCAGTCTTAATCACTCTGCGTGCTTTGGCCGCAGTCTTTTATACTCTACTGCTTTATCTTCCGTTGGACATTTTCTCAATGCTCTATACCCAGGATTTCTGTCTCTTACTGCTTTATCACAGTCCTTGCTCCAAAATGGTACCCTAATTTCCTTTTGGAGGTCTTCTTTATCGGGATAGATTCATTTGCACTTCTCATAATCATTTCACATAACTGCTGTTCCATTCCTCTACTGTCGCTTCCCCATTTACTTCCTCTAAATTTTTATTGCACCTTTCAGAAATAAATGGCCAATCTGCCTTACTATAATTAAAGAATTTTGGTTGCCCTGTTCTTCACTCAGTAGTCTTCCCAAACCTCATAGTAATGGATAATTATCACTTCCTATTATGCTAATGCTAAGTCTATGTGTGAAACATTCCTGTTCTAATATCAAATCTAGTTGGCCTGCCATCATTTAAAAACAATCTCCACCTGTCCATAAATTCCTCTATAGTGGTCCCATTAGTATCCTTTATTCTACTACCCCAAAGAGGGTTGTGAGAGTTAAAAGTCCCTATTTGTTCCATAACCCTCTCCAACTCACTTAAATTTATTGTAAGCACGGATTATAAACGTTTGCTATGTTAATCCACCTGTGCTGTCCCCAAACCCTTACTAACACATTCTAGATTAGGCTTCATTTCTACTTTCTGGTACTGTACATCTGATCTTATAAATGTTGCACCACCCCCCAGATTTTCCGTTTCTACCATAACTGACACTTTCATATCCAGGAATCACAAAATCTAAACATGTTTAAGCCAGGTTTCCTGAATACATATCACTTGTGGTCTTTAAATTCATCATGAATGCCATGATTATCCCGCATTTTACATATTGTTTGACAAGCTGGGCACAAGCTAACAAATCTACAATGAAGCCACTTGAAATTCTCTATAAACATACTATCAAAGTTTAAGATTCGAAACCTAATAGTTTTCACACCTGTCAAATCTTAGATACCCACAGGCTTTGAGTTGGGAAAACTTGATCAATTATAGTAACCTCTGTCTAGTTTATAAGATATTGCACAGCACTGCCACACCTCCACTGAAGAGATTTGTTATGCAGAGTGCAGGCACTCATGTTACCGGAGGTATCACAAGAGGGGATTGTATCATTTCCACTCGAAGAAGTGCTTTTAGTCAGTCAGCGTTCTTTGTACAGCATCTAACAATGGAATCTCTTGCCAATGCTGATAAGAGAGGCAAATACTTATCTTTCTTTTACTGGTCAGCTTAAGAAGTGGCTAATTGGTAATCGGATATGTGCACATTAGACTACTGACTGCCTACTGAGATTTGTTGCTTGTTTGCAGATTGTCTTTTGTCAGTCTTTTTCATTTCTCGTTATGAATGGTCTATGGTTTGTTATTTATTGTTATGTGTTTTACCTGTCTTACTACATTCTGTATATATTGTTATTACTTGTGGACTGTAATAAGTAATTTTTGTAATTTTAAATCTTATTTTAGGTTGCCCTCATAATAACTGGCCAGGGACAACAGATGAAAATTAGCCTGTTGAGCTAACTCGCTCATTTACGTTATTTTACTGTTAATTAATGAGCACTGTCCCTGTCAAATAAACAAAAATGAAATGAAATGAAATCTACAAATCACTTCAATTCCTGCCCATTAGGCACTAACTCTGTGCATTCCATTGTAAAATGTATAACATGTTTTTTTCCCCTCCCTCTTTCATGTACTTCCAGATACTCATATACTTGTGCAGCTCTTGAGGACTTAGATACACCTCTTCCAGGAATCTCTCTGCAGCATCCACCACCACTTTGATAACGTCAGATCTTGACTGGTCTCTAACTGCCCACGGAAGGTGCACCAGCTGCCATTTGCCTGGAAAGTTCCCCCGTTCATCTCACTTTCTTCAGGGCCTCTGCATATGACATAGTATCCCTCAGCGCATTAAAAAGTGTAGTTATATAAACATGGTCCAGGATATTACTGTGAACCGTACCTGTCAACATTGAGTTTTGAATATAAGGGAATCCTTGTGCAAGAAGCACAGTCTACATTTGTCTTAATATATAATGTTAAGTACTAACTTGTCAAGAATTATAGCCATTAATGCAGAAGAATAACTGTAGGTTGCAGTCTTAACTCGCATAATGTAAATACATTTTTTTGAGTGAAATACTCTGTAGATGTAATACATCATCCACCTGAAACCCCTGAGCTGCACTTCTTCTTCTGGTCACTGTTACAGCTCTTGTTCTACATACTGTCCCGCTTTACCGGAGGGGAGCAACATTTCAAATATGATCAGTGTGCAAGTCACCTGGTAGCCTAAACTAAAAACCTCATTGGTTTTTTGTCATGTGACAATGTAAATTTTATTTAGGCCTAAATAGCGCCAATTCAGAACAAAGTTATCTCATCGCACTGTTCATTTAGAGCAGGTCTAGACCTGACTCTTTGTAATTTTTACAATACAGTGATATTTTTTATAGTAACAGTTCCCATCATGAGCAAGCACATGGCGACACAGGCAAGGAAAGAGGAAGGCAAGATGAGAGGAGGTGGACTGTCACCCCAGATACAAATTCTTAAAATGCAGTGGAATGATTGGGTACGTGTCTGTCTATATGTATTAGGGCTGACCCCCAATAGTCGAAGATTCAATGCTTTGATGGGCGGAGCCTGATTCGACTGTCAATCTCACAGTCGAAGCTTCGCAGTGAAACAGGCATCACGCCATTTTGGCGATATGGGGGTGCTCAACGTCTGATTTACGAGAACTACCAGTTTTCTCCCAATAAGTTAATATACAGCCTATTACAATATACATTTCAAAATTTAATGCTGTAAATAAACATGAAAAGAATAAAACTTTCAATAAATGTTTTTAAAGTGCGTGAATAAATCCCAAATTGTAACCCTAACCCTGGGGCGTCTGTGCGCATGTGTACGTGAGCGTGTGTGTCATGGAAGAGGAACACTTGCTGAATAGACGGAGCCCCGGCTTCACTGGTGTTGTGCCGAGTTGTCCGCACCTCGCGGGACTTTCGGATAATTTATCACCGTTGATGAACCACAAAAAATATTTTATCGTTTTTAAATAGCCGGCTACTTGAAATAGACCCGCGAAGAACGTGCATGCAGTTGTCAGCAGCACGCAAAACTCACACAAGACTGGTGAATGGTAGGCGAGAGAGATAGAGAGAGAAAAGGGTCTTCAAAAAGTCTCAGTTTAGCTGAAAATTTACAGTGTAAGTTGAATGAAGAGACTGCCGCTCTGTAACTTGTCAAGATTAAAGCAGAGC